CAAACCCATATTTATTTCTACGTTATCAAATTCACAATTTTAATTGGTCAATCAACAAATTGCATGGGTTAAAATTTTGTGTTCTCTCCTGTTAATTTTTGTGTTCCCAGAATGGGGACGTTTTATGTCACGTGGGCGACTAATAATATTTTATGATTGATCCGTGACGATTAATATACTAAATTATAGGTGACAATTAATTTGTCTTGTTTTGGCAATATAACTGTCACCTGTAATTTAGTATATTAATCGTCACGGATCAATTATAAAGATATTATTCGTCATCTCACATGACATAAACCGTCCCCATCCCTAAATATGTTCGTTAAATTTTTTTTGTAAAGAAAATATATGAAAACAATTGTTACACAGAATTTACTTAGTCTCAATTTCATAAGTGTATAACAAACTTTGGATTTTCAAAATGTTAAGGCCCAATAAGTTTTGAAGCTTGAGTCATGAACAATAAAAATTTTTTGTTTTAGTATTTTGAAACTGACCAATTGTTACCATAAGCAATTAATTGATTATAGATGATCTGCACCGTAGAGAGCTCCAATGCAATTAAATAAAGTTCATAAATAATATATAATTTATATTATCAATATAATTATTGGGGTGTTACAAATAGACTATGATGATGATAATATATGAAGATTTTTCATTGGACAAAATTAATATACAAAAATAGCTCCCGAACTTCTTAGTTAATAAAAATAGTAAACTCATAAAATCATCATCAATAAATATTATGAAAATAGTATCTAATAAAAAAAACCTTGGAATTTAAAAAATAAGTATATGTTATTGAATACTCATATCAATTTTTGATCTGCATTTTATCCAATAAAAAATCCTCAATAACTTTTGTCCACACGTGATCGGCACCAAAATCTATTATTAATTTCATTTTTTTGGAAAAAACATTACAATTATAAAAAAATCAAAATGTCGTCTTCAACTGAAAATACTCATTGTCCTGGTATTGATTACCTTATAATTATTAATCTTGAAGCTACGATCTCTGAAGAAATATCACAATCTACTATACAAGTAACAAAGGCTTCACAGTCACAACGTAAAAGTTTTTGTAAGGTTGAGTTGATTAATTTTATTTACACGCACACACATACACATTAATCATATAATCGATAGAATTATTATCTTTTTATGGGTGGCTTCGGGTTCTCTTATACGTGTTCTTGAGCCATTTCCTGATTTTTTTTTTTTTAAATTTTGTTTTTTTTTTTTGAAGTTATCTAAAAATTTTAATGAAATTATATTACCTGGCTTGCAACTCGTTGTTGGTTCTTATTATTAAATAAATAATAAAAATAAAAACTAGGAAACGGCAGAAATTATTGAATTTGCATGGGCAATAGTAGATACAAAAAATTTTGAAGTGGTTCGTACATTATTTATTTTATTTATTTATTTATTTATTTATTTATTTATTTATTTATTTATTAATTAATTACAATTAATAAATCAATAATATAATTAATGTTAATGATTTTTTATTGACAGGTATACCAACATTCACAATATGTAAAACCTAAAGTTACTCTATTAACAACCTTTTGCACCACTCTTACAAACATAACTTGGGATCAACTTGAATTCGCTGGAAATTTAAAGGATGCAATTGATGCGTTAGACGATTATATTCAGAACAAAATACTTGCTGAAAATAAAACCTTTTGTTTTTGTACACATGGAGCTTGGGATTTAAGGATCCAATTACCAAGAGAAGCAAAAGATAAAGAAATCGAACTGCCAAGTTATTTAACACATTGTAGAATGTTTGATTTAAAGCAAGAATATCAAAGATGGCACGTTCATCATCCAGATATGACGCTAAAAACTCTTTCATTGCAAGAAATGAGTTCAACTTTTGATTTAATAATAGTGGAAATTCATGAATCAGGATTAAATGATGTTTTAACCATGGTCAACGTTGTCAGATATTTTTGTTCTTTTGGTCATCATGATGTTTTCGTTAATCCAATAGATACAAGTGCAGACTTGAATCAGTTTAAAAAAGAACAGTCTAAAGTAATCCATTTAGCAGGCTTACCACACGATGTTACACAACCTGAATTAGAAGCATGGTTTTCGGGTCAAGGTGTAAGACCTACAACATTGTCGATGATTAAACCACCTGATAATCAAAAATCAAGTGGAATTGGGTTTGCAATTTTCGCTACTCATGAAGATTCTATGGCTTGTTTGGATATGAATGGTAGAACGTTAGGTGATCGAGTTATAGAAGTTAGTCCAAGTAGCGAAAGAATAATCGAAGCCGCTGGATCAATGTTATCACCGTTTCAGGTATATATTAAATATTATCGAATATTGTTAATGTCTCAAATTAATACATTAATTCGTTTTAAAATTAATTTATAATAGATGATAAAAAATCATGTTCGTCCAGGTGATTGGATATGTTCAATATGTCAATTTCATAATTTTTCTTCAAGGAGAACATGTTTCAAGTGCAATACCATCAATCCGAATCCTCTTCCCGTGGTGCAACAAGTACCACATAATTTTACACAAGGCGATTGGATGTGTCCAAATTTACCATGCAGTTTTCATAATTATGCATCACGCACTCAATGTTTAAGATGTGGAACCTATAAACCTAGTGGTAATGGTAATTATGGACAATCGTCTACATCAACACCACCATTATCAATAACATCGTCAACATCATCCACATCATCAGGTATATCTTTTAGACCAGGCGATTGGATTTGTCCAAATCCAAATTGTATTTTTCAGAATTTTGCATCAAGAACTCAATGCATGAGATGTGGAACATCAAATCATTCAGGTTATGATACATATGGGAATTTAACGTCATCAATAATAGAACAACAACAAGGAGGTGGTTTATATGGTACAACTAATGTTATGGGTCATGGGTCATTATTATCATTATCACCATCACCATCATCTGCATCATCAAGTATACCTTTTAGACCAGGCGATTGGTATTGTCCATCTTGCAACTCACACAACTTTGCATCACGTTTTCAGTGTATTCGTTGTAGTTTACCTAAACCACCTAATGCTATAAATAACATTGCATCAATAGTTAATATGAAACCTGGAGATTGGTTATGTGGTAATGATATGTGCGGCTATCATAATTTTGCAAAAAGAACACAGTGTGCAAAATGTGGTTTTTTAAATATTCCACAATAAAAATCAGTTTATCTGCCACTATTCATCTGAGCCTTGCCACTTAATAATAAAATATATATATATAAATCTATAAATTGATATAAAGATTGTCATCTTTACCTCATTATATAATTATAATATATATATATTAGCATCCTTCTTGATGCGACTTTATTTCTTTAAAAAATATCAAAGGTGCACCATATTCTGTGTGATTAATTCCCCAAATAAATCACCACCCTTGGTATTTATTCAAATATAAAAATAAGTGTTCTAGCTATAATCTTCCCCCAAGTATTGGAACATCTAAACACTAATAATTAAATAAAAAACTACTTGCTTATTCTAATAACCTTTTTAGTTAGAATTTTCTGATATCTGGAAGGGTGGCATGAACTGTTTACTTTGTTTAAAATCTGTGCAAATATCAATTAGTTGCTCCTATGTTAAAGGGAAAAGATATTTTACCATAAGCTTTAAAAAATAAAAAATTGTGGTAAAAAATGATATATGCTTTGAGTGCCAGAAAATGGGTAATATTTGATTCAATTAAAGGCATAGAAGCCCTATCCATTACTAGGTTAGTTTTCGAAAAGCACCATGAACAATATATCTTGTAACAGTTTAACTCCATGATATAAGATTCAACAATGTTCCCTAGTTTATACAAATAATGCCCACATTCAAAAACATGAATAAAAATGACAGCAGTTTATTATATAATTACCCATATTAAGAAGAACAATAGCTTTTGAAGATCCTCCTTTTTTCTTTAATAGATTGTTTATTGATCTTTTGGCGTTAGTGTGTGCTTTTACTATATCCTTGTTCTTTTGGAGTGATGTATGTCCAACGGGTTTGATTTCAGTATTTAACACAGCAATTTCATCAACTAAGCATATAAAATCAGGTCTTTCCTTGTTTTCATATGTTGATTTGTTAAGCACTATGCTATAATCTTCTGGTGGAACAAAGATAGGTCTTATTATTGGATGTAAAAACATAAAGCTGTGCAAATCTTCAGTTGATTTTGCAGATTCAACAGGCAAGTTACGTCTAAAATATATCAAACAAATTAATTAATTGATTTTGCATTTTAACTTTCTTTCCAGAATGCTGATAAAAAGTAAATCATATTTTAACTCACAATCCATTGAAGACATTACAACTAATAGTGCTTAACTCATTATCATTTGCAGTCATAAAAATATTATCATCAAATACTGTTTTAAGGGCAGCTGCATTTAAAGCTGTTGAAATATCACTTGGTAATATATAACTAATTTTGTGTTAATTTGAATCTAGTATTTTTTTCCATTCGTTAGATGTAAATTCGGGATATGGACAAGGATTCTTAATTACCATTATTGATGCTAGTGTTCTAAATACAATTACAAAGATAAATCCAGTGAGAAAAACATCACAAAAAATAGATAGCAAATTATACATATATAAAATAATCTCTCCTGTCAAAATACAATTTTTCATAAACATCATTTTGGCTTAATTTAGATTCCCTTGCTTTTTGAATTGAATGGTTTTGAAAACTTTGAAACTTTCTTATAATGTTTATTTCTTCTATAATCCACTGAAAAGTATAATCAACTTAATGGTAAAATGAAAACAAAGAAAATGATAATCAGAGTTTGATTTAATACATACTTCATTTAATGGCCCATCTTCTAATTCTTTTTTGAGGTTATCAAGGATGGAACTAACATTCTCTTTATCTTCTTTTTTTTTGTTTTTTTTTTTTTTGCATTAGAAGTAGTAGATAATTGTACCCTAGGTAATGCAAGGCCAAATTTCAATTTATTAACTAATGAGTGTGAATTAAATCACTATCACCAATCTTATATAGAAACTAGAATGATGAGTAGTGGCAATAACAACCACCATTTAATGATAAACACTTATCCATATATGTTTTCAGTGTCGCCTTGTTTTCTTCTTTTTTTGGTTTTGTTTTATTGTAAGAAATCTTTATTTGATCGACAAACACACACGTGTGGTATTGGGTGTACGATGGACTAATGTAGATCAAAACTAATAACATCATATATAAAATTTACTAATAAACAATTATAAAATAAAAATTGCATCTTCTCATTCAAAAAAAAAAAGATACAACTATAAAATTAAGTGATATTATAACAAATGTAATGGTCCACATGGTGACAGAGAGTTTTTTTTAATTTTATTAGTGAAATCATCCAAAATGTTAAAAAATACTGTTAAACTTTGAAACGCATAGGCTCGATAACCAAACAAATTAGAGTAAAAAAATTTCCATAGTTTTTTCTCTGTGATTCAAAGAATAGCCTGACAGAGAGTTTTTTTAATTTTATTATTAAAATCATCCAAAATGTTAAAAGTACTGTTGAGCTTTGAAACGTATAGACTCAATAACCAAACAAGTTAGAGTGAAAAAATTTCCATAGTTTTTTCTCTGTGATCCAAAGAATATTTTACAGGGAGTTTTTTTAAAAATCATTAGTAGATTAAGGATTTATAAGAATTCAAAGTTATGCGATTTTATTCTAAAATTTTTCCTTCGAAAATCTTTTCCTTTTGAAGAAAATGCTTAAAATAAATAACAGTTCAATTAATCTTACGGGAGATTCTACAAGGAGTAAAGGTTCTGGGGAATTAGTTTTCATTTTTTTGACTGCACGTGCATTATGAATTAGTCTTTTCCTTTTATTGGGCTTCGGTATTTTATTAAACACGAAGACTTTTTTTTGCGATTCTAAATCAATAAAAAAAAAAAAAAATTTTTTTTAAAAATTCATTTTTATGAATCTTTACAAAATGATGACTTTTGAAAATAAATTAAACTTTGCACAAGGAAAATTGGAAGAAGTGGAAGGAAAACTGACAAGATTGAGCGAGTTGAAGATAAAACTAGCAGGAGAAGAATGGGGTGATTATAAAGAAAAAAATAAATGGGAAGTTGAAGTAAAATTACTCAAGGAGGGAAAGGAAAAGTTAGAAGAAGACAAAATTTTTTGGAGAGATATGTGGGGAAAAGTGTTGATTGAAAGGGATAAAGAAAAAGGTAATGAACAAATTGTGTAAAAAAATTATTTTTCATTAATTCCATTTTGTTTATTTATTTATTTGTATACTGTTTATGACTTTAACTAACTTGTGGTTTTTTTCCTTCAATATTTCGATTTTGATTCTTTTTGGATTACCTTTATTCTTTGCCAATTTAGTCAATGAAGGTAAGCATTTATATACTGTTATTTATGTTGCTGATTAGTTTGTTAATTAACTTATGCTCTTGG